TGGAGCCCCAGAAGTGTCTCCTACCTGTACACAGCCCGCTTGTCAGCCTCCAGCTGGGCCTGGGGGTCAGCGGGGGCGCTGGGCACAGGCGTGCTGGCAGCAGCTGAGGGCGCGGGGACATGGACAGCGTGGGTCTTGGAGGGTGGCTGGGCAGCTGCCGTCATCTGCAGAGAGGAGAGAGGCGTGTCAGCGCGGCTGGACGCTGCCTTCTGAGCTGGGGCGTGCGGCCGCCTCAGCCGGTGGTGTGACGGGGTGGACCAGGAGGGGCTGTGTGCAGGAGTGCCACAGTGCCGGGAAAGTGGCCTTCCATAAAGGCACAGTGTTCTAGACAAGGTAGGTCATGCCAGGCCAGGTGGTCCTAGCACACTGTAGAAGAGATGGTTCAGTACAAACATAGTGACCTGCCCAGCGACAGGGAAAGGCAGGAAGGGGCCCGCTAACCGCCGTGCTCGGGTTGGTCGGCGCATAACGGTCTGTCCTCCTTCCTCCCTTCCTCCCTTTTCTTTCTGAGTTTTGCAGTAGGGCATGAGTGCTCGCCAGAGAGAGGCGGGAGCGGGGCTGGGGGCGTCCCCTATGGGAGATGGCTGCACCACGATCCTTCCTCCTTTCATGACTTTGGACACGCATGCACATGTGCTGCATTGTTGCCATGTGCAATCCGCTGCCTAATCTCCTCGGCAGAGCAGGAGAGCGGCTGGGCCTCCCTGCACGTGGACAGAGGCTTCCTCGACCACGAGCCAGAGGTAACGGATGGCTGCCCCGCGTGCACCGTGCTTGTTCCGCCTGGTTACGTGAGATGAGCAGGTTTTTTCTTGGCCCTGACCCACATTCAGGGCAAAGGTCTCCACACAGTCCTGGATGTTTCCGGAGGTGCCCAGGGCCTCCAGTGTCATGCCAACCAGAGCAACGCCCAGGACCACCTCGTCCTCTAAGGTGCAGTGGCTTCGGGCGTGCTGAAAACGTCATGACGGGTGTAGTACAGGGCATGGGGAAGCAATGACGAGATTTTCTATGCAAAACTGTGTCGTGAGTTTCCCAGGGACCCAGGGTTTCCTGTCGGCACACAGGTCTGTGAGGCTGCCCTGGCACAGTGGCTGTCCTGCATGCCGATGGTGCCGGCTGCAATGTGAGGTGAGGGGCCAGGGCGTCTGACAGCTCACTCTGGGGGCCTGTCTGCTCCATCCCAGCCCCGTCAGCACACACTGGTTGAACCCACAGCGCGGTGGTCGAATGCGTTGCAGAGGGAGCCACATCCCACCAGGACAACCTTGGTTCAAGTCCCTGACTCAGCAGCTTGGAAAACATGCCAAGGAGGACCAGCAGATGGCGTAATGGTTACCTTGCTGGACTCCCACATAGTCGACCATGGTTGGCATCCTGGACCTGCTGGCTTAAAACTCACACTGGGCATGTGTTTGTGCGTGCCCAAAACCCCAAGAGGAGACTGGGGGAGAAGGTATTGCAGTGTGGCCATCCCCCCTTGGGGGTGATTTCTTGCTTTCTGTCTCTCTGGCAAGTGCACATGCCCTACAGCAAAATCTCTCCTAACACCAAAAATGAACATGCCAGGCACATGTGTGCATGCCCCCTCAAATTCCGGCGGGGTGGAGAGAGGGGAGAAGGGGCTGCAGTGTGACCGCACCCTTCCGGGGGTGCTTCCCCCTCTTTCTCTTTCTGGTCAGCAGATGCGTTCCCTGGAAATAAAAAAAAAAAAGAAACAAACAAACAGTTTGATGCTTAATAAATAAATTTGTTGAGAAAACGCGTGAATAAGTAGACAAATATACCTTGAAAGAATCAGATACAAAAGACCTAAACTTTTTATGGAAGTGGAATTAAAGTACAAACTTATTTTGTTGCTAAAAATGCAGAAATCCACGCAGAGTTTTCCACATATCCATGAACTGTTTGAAGCCCTCGTGGTTACCAGATGAAGGTGCATCCCGTGACCCAGGCCCCTTCTGGAAGGGGAGCCTGCTCCCTTCTGTGTGAGCAGTCCACCCCTGCGCCGTGGCGTGTCTGTCCCAGGAAAGCGCATGCCTCGTCCCGCCCTGATACCACCCTCTGCAGAAATTCGAGCACCTTCAGAAAGTTCAAGGAGGAGGTGGGTCTGTGGTGTGTGGTTATGGGGCTGCTGGCTAGCTGTGTATTCGAGCCCCAGACCCAGTGGCATGAAAAGCATGCCAGGTGCACGTGACACGCCCGAAGTCCTGAAACGGGAAGTGGAGAAGGGGCGATTGTGTGGTCACGCCCTAATGGGGTGTCCTCACCTCTCCTCCACTGTCTCTCTTTAGCGAATGCATGTGCCCTTTGATAAAAGAATAAACTACATGATTTCAAAATTGCTCTGTACCAAACGAACCTGTCCTGGAGCCCCACCTTGCCCCGGACTCTCGAGGCCCGGCAGAGGCCCCCGGCCGCTGCCGTTTTTCTTCATAGCCTCCATCACGGCACGTCCTCTGAGGGGACTTGAAAACACTGAGAAAGTGGGACGAAAGTGCAAGTTTCTTTTGATAAGAAATACTTAAATTCAGGCACAGTTTTCTCATAATAAACTTTTTTTTTTTGAGAGGTTTTTGCTATAGGGCGTGTGCTCACCAGAAAGACAAGGGAGACAGAGACAGAAAGTGAGAAATCACCCCCCAGGGGGCGTGGCCACGCCGCAATCCCTTCTCCTCCATTCTCCTCTCGGGATCTTGGGCACGCACGCACACACGCCTGGTGTGAGTTTAAGCCACCGGAGCCGGGACTTGAACCATGGTAGACTACATGGGAGTCCAGTGACCTAGCCATTACGCCAACTGCTGGTCCCTTTAACTTTTAAATAATGACAGAGTGCATACAGCACACATAAGAATAAGAGAGGGAGAGAGAGAGAGGTCTCTCGTTCCCTCGGTCTGGGCTTGGAACTGTGGTTGGCCACGTGGGAGTCCAGCACCTTAACAACATGCGCTGCCAGCCGGCCATTTCAACACGTTTCAGACTTCCACCACCTGAAGGTGCTCCCATGGCAGTCTCTGCCGTGACCCCCCAATGAGGCCCTCTAGGATGATGGACACAGGTGCAGCTGCAACCAGGCCAAAACCTAAAGGCTCCCCACGTGGCCCCCAGTGTGGTCCGAGAGCGTCACGACCATGTCTACACTTCTGTCCAGAAGACACTGTAATAAAGCCTCAGTGAGGGGCAGGGACATGAAACTGGGACCCGGAAGACCTTTCCAAACCTTGGTAACACGTTACATCTAATAAGGTTAATTTCCATCTAGTAAGTTAAAACCTAACGCCTTCTAGCATTTGGGCTGGGTCCTGGCTCGCTGCCACCCTGCGAAGACCAGTCGCTGGCTGGGGCCATTCAGGCAGCGTCCCAGCCTCTGTGGTGGCCTGGTCTGCAAACTGCCGAGGCCACCCTGGCCCACTGGCCGTGGGGCTCGGCCAAGACAGCAGCCTGGACTACAGCTGGCGGGTGGGTGCTGTGTTCCTGGAGGCCGGCATGCCGCGAGGGGGTGCAGGGCTAGGTGCACCTATCTCCTCCCAGCCCAGGCTGATTTCTTGGGTAGAGGCCCTGGGGGCCCCTCCCGCTCTCCCCTCCCGTGGCGCCGTGTCCATGAGCTCCTCCCAGTCCTCAGGGGCCAGTCCACCACAGCCTGGGCTCACGGGCCCTGTCCAGACTCGGCATGCGGTGCCTCAGAGCACGGCCTTTCTCCGAGGACTGCTCTGGGGAGAGGTATTGACCTTCTGCAGGAGGGGAGAGGGCGGGCTGCCGAGTGCACGGGCGGCCACAGCCCTCTCTCCAGGGGTTCAAGTCCACTTCCCAGCACCTGCCCTGACCTAAGGCGCACGGCCCTCCGAGGGGCCCAGGCAGGGTGGGGGTGTCCAGAGGCTCCCCACACTGACTTCCCTATGGAGGGGCTGGGGGCCCAGGGCCCGAGACTTGACCCGAGGGCTCTCAGGGCTCCGTGTCTCTGGCAGCTGGGCTATAGTCAGGTGCCACCTCCTGCAGTGCTGGCTAAGCCCTGTTCTTGTGGGAGCAGGGACAGGCGCCTGGGGCAGTCGGTGGGGGGCACCTGCTAGGTTGTCCTGGGGGAGGCCTAGACCCAGAGAGCAGGGGTGCTGGAGGCAGCGGAGGTGGCCTTGAGCCCAGCCCTCGCCATGCACCAGCTGGCACCTGGGACTCCCGGGCGACGCAGGTCCTCCCGCCCCACTGCCAAGGAAGGTGCTGCTCCCAGGGGCGGGACTCTGGGCTGACCTCGGGCACCTGCCCCAGTGTCGTGGCCCACACTACGAGAACGGGCTGCCAGGACCCTGCTGGCGGGGTTTACACCCAAGACGAGCCACTCCACAGGGTGTCCCGGGAAGGGGGCGTCACCAACCACCAGCCAGAACATCACGCCCGTCAGAGTCCCCATCGGGGAGACAGGGCTGTGACAGCTCTTCCCCTGCCCTGCGCCTGCTCAGACCTTGCAGGGTCGCCTGGACACAGCCCTGTGGCGAGCAGTGCCCTCATCCCATTCTGCACCCTCCCCTGCGGCCTCAGCTCTCCAGGAAGCCCTGCCCAGCCTCTGTTGCCCAGACCTGGGTAGACAGCCCCGCCTCAGCAGCTGTGCGCCCACCCCACCCAGAACCGGCAGGCCCAGCCCGACGCCTAGCTGGCTCCCAGGCTCCCAGGGAGTGTGTGAAATGAGCAAGGGGCCGGCCCAACTAGGGAGCAAGCCAGCAGCGTGCTGAAGGGCTCAGGGACCCCAAAGTGAGAGGAGAGAGGGCGTCTCCCGGGGGAGGGGACTGCAGCAGGCAGGGCGGCCCGTGCTGTGCCGGGGGCCAGAGGAGGGCCTGGCGGCGACGCAGGGCAGCGGGTCTGTTACTTGGTTCAGTTTAAAGGGCCGTGCTGTACAGGTGTGGCTGC